AAAAGGGTCAATTCCGACTTTGCTATGACAATCTGGCGCTTCTGAATCAGCTACTGTATGTATGTTTTGTTATTAGTTTACGTATTTGCTATTGACTATTCAAATGCGGAGTTTTGCGCATCGTGCGTGCGTGCGTGCGTGCGAGAGAGAGAGAGAGAGAGAGAGAGAGAGAGAGAGAGAGCGAGAGAGAGAGATTGGTATAGGCTAATGTCTGATAGAATGTTAAAAAAATTTCAGTGTTAAGTAAAGATTTTTAAATTGTTGTTTTGCAAGTGATTTTTTATTTGAAAACCAGGACAAAACAGTAAAAAGCACATTTTAGTTATTTAATTTATGCAATGGTGAAAAAAAAAATGGCAAAATAGATCTAAATGCTAAAATCTGTGTTCGGTATTCGGTCTTCAGCCCAGGGTTTCATTTTGTTCGGCTTCGGCCAAGAATTTTCATTTCGGTGAATCCCTGCAATAAATAGAACCATATTATTTGTTTGAACAGTGCAAAACAGAAATTACACACTTCACCTTTAAAAGCTGCCAAAGAAACCCCACTTCTTCAGCTTCATTTGCAGTGGTGTTCGTCTACATGAAGCATAATGTTTTCCTGAGAGTTTTTAATGGAGTGAGCTTCCTCCCGGACCCGAACTGAACACTACAGCTCAGTCACTTACTCCCTCACGGCTCAGAGATCGCTGAACGACCACATTCGTCCCAAACCACAAATGGCCCCGGCAGCAAAACCAGCGCGACCGTGTGAACCGCAGTGACGCAGGGTTGACTTGAGGGAAACCCCTGATATAAAAGTCAAAGTGGTGTTTGAAGAGACGCAAGGAAAGAGACGTTTTCCACCCCAAGCACCGCTGCTATTCTCAGCTCAGACCTATTTTTGTAAAGGGGTTTCTCTTGAATTTAGATCACCACGTATGAGCGTGTCAAAACATGTTAACTGCACTGCATTGCGAGAGGCCAAACATAGTCTATGTCAAGGCTGAGCTATATTAATTTGTGTGTTAACTTTAGGCACTGCCATCCATGATATGCCACGTAGGCTGATTTGAAGATGATTATTGCTTTAGATAACTCTCCACAGCGAGAGGGTTCATCTTTCCAAGCGGCTGGTTTCTACGCTCTGTGGCCATCACACCTTGTTTGTCATTTCAGTCATGTTGCTCACGTACCAAAACAATTTCATTCCTACTTCTCAGCTGTCTGAGGCGTCTTCTAAGACATACATGGAAGAAATAGGCGTAACATCTGATAAATGACAAGATAACACAACTGATTCAAATGAAACATATCTATCTAAAAAGGTTTCTGACGTATGTTGAAAGTGCAGTTTGGTTGGGTCGACACCAAAATGCTGGCTTTGATATGATCAGGAAACTTCAGATCAAGTCTGAAGTAAAAAAAAAATTAAAAAAAATTAAAATTAAAAAATAAAGTATCATCATAGAGTAATAATAATAATAAAGTATCATTCTTTCTACAGTTTCATTAATACGTGTCATGTTCAAGCCAGCCTCAACTAAAATATTATTTAAAAAAAAAAAAAGAAAAGTGCACACTTTATCAAATAAATAATTATATATTATAATAAATGTAATTATAAATATATCATAATTTTAAAAATTCACTCACACACTCCACAGTCTGAAGATGCATGGTCAAGCCAGCCACAACTAAAATATATATATTTTTAAATCTTATGAAAATCATGATAGTCTCCATGATAAGAAAGAGTGCACATTGTCAAATAAATATAATAAAACATAATATAATAGATAATAAGTCAAAAATTACAAAAGCATTGCTCCTACAACATTGTTAATACTTATCACCACAGTTTGAAGATGCATGATGAAGCCTGCCTATTATAAAAATTGTTATTAAATAATAAAAAATAAAAAAAAAGGATGGAAGTTGCCAGGAAAAGAAAAAGTGCACATTTCATGTTGTCAAATAAATATAAAAATAAATATAAACATAAATATCAAACAAAGTACAAGTATTACATTATGAAAACCACAGTCTGAAGTAAAATATTACAAAAATTACAATAATCACCAGGAAAAGAAAAGTGCATACTTTCTGTTGTCAAATAAAAATAATGAATACAAGTATAGATAACACAAATAAAAAAATAAATATAAATATTGATAATATGTGACCCTGGACCACAAAACCAGTCATAAGGGTCAATTTTGTGAAATTGAGATGTATACATCATCTGAAAGTTGAATAAACAAGCTTTCCATTGATGTATGGTTTGTTAGGATAGGACAATATTTGGCCGAGATACAACTATTTGAAAATCTGAGGGTGCAAAAACATCAAAATACTGAGAAAATCGCCTTTAAAGTTGTCCAAATTAAGTTCTCAGCAATGCATATTACTAATCCAAAATTAAGTTTTGATATATTTATGATATGAATAGGAAATTTACAAAATATCTTCATGGAACATGATCTTTACTTATTATCCTAATGCTTTTTGGCATAAAAGAAAAATTGATAATTTTGACCCATACAATGAATTGTTGGCTATTGCTACAAATATACCCGTGCTTATGACTGGTTTTGTGCTCTAGGGTCACATATATGTAAAAAATAAATATTACAACATTTTTTGCTTAAGACTTTAAATGCATACAGTGCACGTTTATTTAAATTCAGCAATTTTATGAACTTCATATCTGCTAATAATAAACTGACATATCACCATTAAGGTGCTCCAGCTCTCTAGACATCAGACATGGCCATATAAAAACCCTTATTCAAGGTTTTTCATGATCATGGGATCCCTGCAATACGTAACAACTGTAACAAGACATGTTACACAAAGATATTTAAAAAAGAAAAATCAGAATAGGAATGCTGGTCTAGTTTTACATAAAACGGTGTCAAGAAAGCGGGGAACAATGTTAACAGATAGCCTCAGGGCGAAATTCAGCCAAAGTCGGTCAAGCGTCCACCAGCCCTGACTGACCATGTCTGGAGGTGCGGGTTTAACCTCTGGGAAGGGGAAGACACTTACGTGCCCTCTGCGGCATTTCGGTCTTACATCACCCTGTCTGGGTAAAAAAAAAAAAAAAAAAAGGAGACAC